CATCGATGGTTGTCTCTCATTCACCCCTTGACAGGGGATCAAACCTGAAACCTAGGTATGTGCCCTGGTGGGGAATCAAACCCACGACCTTTTGGTGTACAGGATGACACTCCAACTGAGCCACTTGGCCAGGGTGAGCAGAGCTTCTTGAAATGTTTTTTCCTTGATCCAGGTCGTGGCTGCATGAGTGAATTTGCCTTGTGAAAATTTATTGAGATGAGCCCTTAGAATTTGTATACTTTTCTGTATGTATATAATTCTTCAATAAATACATTTATTTTAATAAAATGCTACAATGGAACAAGTATTTGCAAGCATCTAGTTTTTGCATGGCACAGGTAAATGTAGTTTACAGATGCCCTCCTTTAGTAAATTATTACCTTTATTTCTAGGTAATAATTGTCTTGTTTCACAAGTACAAATTGAGACTCAGAGAGAGGTAAGTTGAGACCAAGATTCTACAAGACATTAAAGGGCCTAGAAGAGTACATTCTAACTAGGACAAACCAGAAAGCCTAGGAAATTAGCTCGAGGCCAAGCCAATACGACGACAGAAAATTGCCTTGAGCAGATTTCACATGTGACTTGTGATTTTAAAATATGCTCACAAATTCTTTTAATACTCTTCCCATATAAAGGTGGAGTCTAAGTTCTCTCCCCTTGAAAATGGGCCAGCCCTAGTGACTCCTAGCTAAAGAACAGAATGTGGCATGTGGCAGAACAGACACAGTGATCTCCAGGATAGGTTGGAAAAGAAAATTCAGCAACAGTCTGACTCTTGTTCTCTCTGGATACTTGCCCTCGGAATCCAGCCGCCATCTTGTAAGGAAGCTCAGGCCACAGAGAGAAAGGCCCATGTGTAAGTATTTCAGCCAACAATTCCAATGGTCCCAGCTGACAGCCACCATCAGCCATTAAACATGTAAGTGAGCCATTAAATGATCCTAGCCCGCAGCCTTTCACCACCCCAGCTGATTCTAAATGGAGCAGAGACCAGCTGTCCCAGTTAAAACCAGTCCAAACTGCTGATTGGGGTGCAAAATAAGTGTTAAGCCCCTGAGTTTTGAAGCAGTTTGTTACACAGCAATAACCACAATAGTGTTTTCAATATGTCTAATTCCCACTACAAGCTTAAAAAGTAGATACTGCTATCCCTTTTTGACACATGAGTAAACAGGTCCAGAAAGGTAAAATGACTGTCTTGGGTTTCACACTAAGTAGCAGAGATCAGTCAGTTTGGCTCAGTGGTTAGAGCCTGGGTCCGAGGAATGAAGGGTCTGGGGTTGATTCCGGCCAAGGGTATGTACCTCAGTTGCAGGCTCCAACCCCTGTCCAAAGGCAACCAATCAACATGTGTATTTCTCACATTGATGTTTCTCTCTCTCCATCTTCCAGTCTGAAAAGCAATGGAAAAAATATCCTCAAGTGAGGACCAAAAGCAAGTAGCAGAGATCAGGATTTAAGAGTTTCAAAAAAAACAGGCCTTCTCCACTATTTCATAATGGCAAGGAGATTAAGCCATTTCACCGACATTAGGAAAAACCTAGATTCCAAAAGCAACTTGGTTTTTATTTATTTTTTTAAATGCTCACCAGAGGATATTTTTTCCATTGCTTTTTAGAGAGGAGAAGGGAGGGAGGGAGGGAGGGAAGAGGGAAAAAGAGAAACATCCATGTGAGAAAGACACATCGATTGGTTGCCTTGCACATGCATCCCCCACCTGGGCAGGGATATAACCTACAACCCAGGTACCTGCCCTTGACCAGGAATTGAACCCAAGACCCTTGATGAGTGGCCAACGCTCTAACCACTGAACCACACCGGTCAGGGAGCAGCTTGGTTTTTAAAATAATTAAAACTCTGTATAGGCTTTAAAAAAACCAAAACCAGTACAGCAGCTTTATGGAGGTTGTATGAGGCCTTTTACCACGTTATCCTATTTAATCTTTACAACAGCCCTGTGAGTTATCATCGTCCCAATTTTATAGATGAGAAAACCGAGGATTAGAATACATAAATGGCCTAATTCTCCACAGCCTGTAGGGTGTGGTAGAGTTGGGAATGCAAACTCAGCTGATTTGCAAATGCTTCCTTCCCTCTGCCTCTTGCTTGCAGAGAAAGTATAGTTTGTAAGAAATACATTTTAATAAAAGAAAAACGTTTTCATCATAACTTTTCTCTGTGGCCAAGACTCATAGGAAGGAAACTTAACGATCACTCAGTGTCCATTCCCTTGATTTCACAAGTGAAGTTTAAACTAAAAGAAAGTAGGCCCCTTCAAAGAAATGGAGACTTCCATCGATAACCTTTAGGAGAAAAGTTACCATTCCCTCCACACCCATGTATCATTTCCCACAAACCCTGGGCGGTCCCCTGAGCTTGTGATTATCCTGCAGAGCAGGCTCACAGGTGATCTGAGTCAAACCTTTCCTGACAGCCCCTCCCCTGCACAGCATTTACTCTCATTGCTCACACAGTAGGAAAATATTTGCATTTCTGTGTCCCCTTCAGAGTGTCAGCACTGGGTACTAAGCGCTTGACGTTCGCCATCTCATTTCCCCCTCAAACACACTGGCACTTCCCCTTCCTGGACAGACTTTAGGTTACAGGCGGGAAAAAAACATTTCAATGGATTTGTCAGTCGCCTTTAGTTCAATCAAAGGCAATCGTGGCAAGTTTGCCTAGTAATACAGCAACAAGTAATCTCGTTTACTCCTCATACATTTATATAGAGGAGCCATTTTAAAAGAGCGAAACTCAGAGAAGTCAGCTTTGCCCAAGATTACAACACTAAAAGGAGCTGAGGTTCGAGCCTACACCCGGAAGGCTCAAAAACCCCCAGGCTCGCGTTACTCAGATTCTCACTGCCTAAGCCCCACGGCTCTCCGCGGGCGCGAATAGAGCAAACGCAGCCATCGACGCGCTCCCAAGTCCCGCAGGCCGCGAACCCCGGCCCCTGTGCGGCAGCCACCGCCTCCCCACGAGAGCAACCTAGCGAGGGTCGCGGGCTCCAAACACCGCCCGTCCAGCTCCGCTCCGCCCCGATGCGCGCGTGGGAACGCGGCGTTCTCCCAGGGGCTGCCCCGGACGACCGCCTGCGCGCACCTGGGAGGGTTTACGCCACCCCCGGCCCGGCCTCCTACCTCTCGTCGCCACGTCCACCCCACGTCTCCGTCTCCCCGCCACCTTGCGCTCGGAAGAGCCCGCGCCCGGGGAGCGCGCCGTGATGTTTCTCTTTTCCGCCCGGCACCGCGGCGGCCACCTCACATCCGGGCTCGCGGCGGCGAAGGCGGTGCTGGGGCTCCGGTGCGTGGAGGGAGTTATTAAGGGGGAGGGGGCCGGGAAGGAGGGACGGAGGGCTGGGCCGCTGTTACGGCGGCTGAAGAGAGACAGCCCGAACGGGTGGGGGGGCGAGAGCGAAGGCCGCGCCGAGAAGCCCTTAGATCAG